CGAATAGGAGAAGGGAAGAAGATGTAATGGAAAGGTGAAACAGGGAGTATTGCGAGATTGGTTCCAATGTAGGCAAAGTGAGGCAGTGCAGGACCACATTAATATCCCTATCCAGAAGGGTAGTCCACTGTGGCAGATGATGAATCCAGAAGGAACACATTAACAGGTAAAGAGTAGGAGATGTAAATACCTGCAGTATCTGGAAAAATGAAAGGTGTGGAACAGGCCCCAAAGAATCGACATTGAAGAGACAGAAGACCCCAGTCCAAAAGTCAAGTGAGAACATTTGCATGGCAAGGAACAGTGGGTTGATCAGTGGCAAACCCTAAACCCAGAAACCAATGACGGAAAATGTTTCATTTGCATTCAGAAGTTTCCATGGAGGAAGGGCAAAGGAAACAAGCCAGAAAAGAAGCTAACGACTAGGAGAAGCCAGATCTCCTTACCAATGACTGGAGGAAAACCAGGCATGAAGACAGAGGACAGGAAAGTCAGGAGGAAACACCAGTAACTGAGGGTAAAGAAGAAGAAGGGACAAAGTCAGAGGGTGAGGTAACAGAGATTGTAGCTGAAAAAGCCACAGAAACCACAGCTGAGATGGCTAGGAAGAAACTATCAGAAGAACAGAACATGAAGTGTCAAGGATATTCGAAATCACCCAGAAAAGAAGGAGAATGGGAGGATAGACAAATGTATTGGTCCAATCCTGGCTGAAAATATTGATAGCCAGAATAAGAAGACGACGGACTGGAGATGAAAATCAAGGCAATTTGTGGTAAAGGGATGTAGTAAAAGCTTCAATGTGAGGAGTACCCCACTGAAGTTAAAGTTACTGGAAAACAAAAGGATCAAGAGACCACTCCATTGAATAGATTTTGTCTGGACAGGAATCTGATCCACGACAAAAGCACTCAGAATATGACATGGAATGATATGAATATCGAGCATATTGGCTCCCAAAAGAAGATCCAATATAAGAATACAGAGGAATCTAGAATGGGTGCCACCCAGGTGATTGAGATAAGCAAACACTGGAGAAAATTCGGAATACATCATTACCAGACGATTTCTGGCCAGAAAGAGAAATAGAGCCAAAACATGACTTACAGTGAGAAGCTCCAAGATGTTGATATGATAAGACATCTCGGCTGCAGACTAAAATCCCGAGGCTTCCTATTGATTGACCCATGACCCCATCCGAGGCACCCACTCATGTGTAAATCATGTCTAACCACAAATGCAGTTCATAGATAAAGGTAGGAGGAAGGGTAATAAGAGCCAGCAAAGGATCCCTTGTGAGATTCCACTGGTCGTGAAGAGCCCACAAAAATCTGCATATGAGTCTGACATAAGAGGATAAGGACTACTATAGAAGATCACATCCCCAAAAGCAATAGAACCTCACGAGCTGTAATAGAACTCAAATCCCCATTGAATGAAGTCGAAAAGGAGAAAGGTGGGCCTGACTTAGATGGGTGTTGAAAAAGAAAAATACCCAAATGGACAAGATATTGGATAGGTTGCAGTAAGGACTTCTCCAATTCCATTAACGAGCCCATTATAGCCACCTCTAGGAGCAGCTGATGAGGGTAGCAGGTGGACTCCTGTTTGGAATGAACTAACAGTAGCCAGTCATCTAAAGAAAGAAGAAAGCACAACCCAAGAGCATGTAAGTGATGAACAAATGCTTTAACCACCCGACAAAACATATAGGGCTGAAGCACATACAAAGGGCAATGCATGAAACAGGTAAACCACACCATAAAGAAGAAACTGAAGAGAGGGTCGCAAGTGACGAGATATGCAAAGAAGCATTTGCAGCATTCATCTTGGTCATCTATAAACCTGGAGAAAAAGCCCACTTAAGGATGAGAAACGACTCCCAGGTAAAACAGGGTAGATTGAAAAATAGATTGAGGTGAGACAAACCTAATAAAGGCCGCCAGTCTCCGGTTTTTTGTGAGGACAACAAACAGCCTGGAGAAAGATGATGAACAGGTGCAATGACCTGTTGAGACAGAAAATCTTGCACTGCCTCAGGCAGACACTGGCTGGTGGCAGGATCCCGAATCATGGGAAAGGAAAAGGGTACCAAAGACAAAGGAAGTGGGGGAAAGAAGTAGTTGGACAAGTCCCTCTAATAAAATCCGAAGAACCCTCATGTATCTCTAGTGAAAGATCGCCAAAGAGTAACAAAATGATATAGGCAAACTTCCAATGGATGGGAACCCAGTAGTTAGTCTCTGGTTCTGTTGGCAACATGTCCATCTATGTTGAATAAAACAATGAGATGAGAAACCCCTGGATGGAGGAACAGGGAAGGGTAGATAAGGGCCAGGACAGGAGCTTGTCGTGGCTCCAACTGTAACAAACATGCAACCAAAGAGGAAAGGGTAGTGTTGAAGCACAGATTACACATGTGATTCCAAAGTCTCAGGTACATGATCAAAAACATACCACCAAAGAAAAAGGACCATACATAAATCCCCAAAAGAAAGAGGCAACAAACGAACCCGAGACAAGGTTGCATGGCGACCCAGAAGATTCCAACAACAGTAAAACTACATATGTAAAGCGAGATCCACAGATGACAAACAAGCCAACGTGGAGGTAATAAGTTTGTTTGCACTACCTATCCCTAATTTAGCAGTGTAAGACTAGAGGGAAGGCAGCTAGCCATCCCCACCCACCACCAACTCTTTTATCAATGGATAGTGGGATTGACCATCACATTATAACGCCCCCACGGCTGAAAATGTGAACATGTTTGGTGTGATGGGGATTCGAACCCGCGACCCTCAAATTGTTAGTCGAGCACCCTAGCCACCTGGCCAAGGTAATAAGAAATCATAGGAAATTGATAAAACATTACATGCGTGAGAAATCATGTTGAAAAATACCATATTAGGCCAAGCTGATTCTACAGAAGAGGTAGTGAAAGACCCGGCAAAATATGGTGGTGTAAAAAAAGCTATCAAATCTTCATCAGCCCAAACAGATTCGACTTGTTCAGAAGAATTAGTGGGGTAAGTTCAGGAGATGAAGGTTGACCCATATAATGATCAATCTCATGGTGGATAATAGCAGAAAAAATCCAATGACAGGTCACCCCATCTGCACTTTGTGAAATAGTGTTAAGAGGTACGATACTCAAATTAGGAACATGAACCTCGGAATTCGTTGTAGAACTACATAAATCAAATAAAAGTGTTTGATAAAAAAATATGCGAGTATGAGAAAAAATAGTGACTGGGAAATTAAGTTAAAGTAAGAGATTTCCTCAATGTAAAGAAAAAAAAAGTAATGAAGAAATCCCATTTCGGAAATTTAACTATTAAAATTACAAAAACTCTTCATATGAAGAGTACCGAAAAAAAAAAAATGTCTGGACGGGGTACTGCCAAACAAGAAGTGATAGTTTGGTAGAATTGAATTTTATTGGTGGTGGATTGATGCATGATGATTTGCATGAGAGAAACATTGGAATCCATCAATTCTAATGGAGGGGAGATAAAGGCTTGTGGCATGCATCAAATTTGTTTGCATATAGAGGGCAGCAGTGAACGAGAAGAACTATTTATGTAAGAGGAGGTGATGTACCGTATCGGAAAACAATACAACTCACAAGAAAACAGTTATGTATAATTACTATTAGTTTTTGAAATATTATTGCAATAAAACATTCACTAAAGTACTTAACTATGATACTAAACTAGCATTGTTAATTGAAATTAGGACAACATTTGTGTAAGTTTTCATGTAGGTGGATTAACAACATATAATAGTGCATAATAAATATTTAAAATGAGATTGCCACCAGTCTCAACCTGCAAACATCAATGGTAATAATATCTGTGAATCTATCGGAATAATTAAATGTAACAAAATCAAATTTAAAGTATTAAATATGGATGAAGGACAAGAAGGAAATTTTACTAATAGATGGTATGAAATTCTTTTTGCTGTATGTAAGCTTGATCATGTGATTTTTTGAAATTTTATATAGGTCTTATCTCTTCCAAAATACTGCACTCCTTACGATGATTGTGTAGGATGTTAAAAGATGTAGTGTTACCAGTTTTACAGTATTTTATCTTTATACAGTAAAATTATTAAGTAAAACAACTTTTTTATGCATTTTGAGATGAAGACAGTCTCATTCTAAATTTATTTTGTACTAAGAAACACTGAATTTATTTGTTTAATACATCTGTATAGAAATTTTTAAGTTTCTTATTAAGTAAAACACCAAGTTGAAACTAAGAAGAGGTTCTGTAAAACTGCCTATAGAAGAAACTTTTTAAACTCTATGTGTACAAATCAATTCATAAACAAGTTAATGTTGAAAAACTTAGCTTTTTTTTTCTCACTATCCATTTTCCAAGTTAATTTGCACAATCCAATTAGTATTACACATGAAGATAAAGTTTTTACATAGTTTTTGGAAACTAGTTGAGGTTTGAGCTAAAGTACAGTGAGCCTTTTCTTGATGCTTAGTTCTTGTTCAGGGACAGCTCTATTAAGAATTTGGAAATATTTCATTCAAATAAGTACATCACATACATAGAACAGTAGATATGAGGTGTTGTTTGGGCTTTCTGATGCATGTTCTAAATACTGCATTATTCTTTTTTTTTGTAGAGTGTTATTTCAACATATTGACCCCGACAAGTTAGAAAATTATGTTATTCAAACTTGATTAGGTTTTGCAACAGTATCTCAAGTTAACTGTCAATGTGGTGTATTTAATTTTTAAAATTATAAGTAGTTAATGAGACTAAAATCTATAGGTGACCCACTTAGGAGAAAAGCAAAAAATTTGGTTAACTACATTTGCACTCATGAAGCATTATAAAATATCATTTTTTTAATTTGGAAATTAATGAATTCATTTTGTTTTACACCCCTGAAAAATTTTTTTTAATCAGATCCTCTGGGAAAACTGTGTGTGTTTCTAGCCTTGCAAGCATAACTATATCTGATAAATGAATCAAAAGGGGCACAAAACAGATAGTTTTTCTTTATTCAGATTTTTAAAATATTCCTTACATTACATGTTATTTCATCATAAGTTCATCGAAGTTGAGCTTGAATTATGCTTAAGACAATCAACTATCATTATAGTAACATAATCAACAGTTTTTGAAAATATTAAATAAAATCAACTTGTGTAAATCTGACATTTAATATTTTGTATAAATGTATACAACTTTCACTAACATTTTTTTCTAAAGACAGTAATTGTTGTTTACATGCTTAATAATATAAAAGCCAATTGTTATCTAAACATGTTACCAAGTATGAACTTGTTCTTCAAGGTTTTTGGTACATGTCGAATAGTCAGTGAAATTCTAGTACTCCGTTTGAAGACACTGCCTATTTTTGTTTCACAACTGTTGAGGTTTGCCACTTTATTCGTAATAATGTCTTCTTCTACTTCTTTGATGCCATGAAGATAGTTATGATACATATCATCTTTGACTATAAGTAAGCTTCGAGGCTCCAACAGAAGGCTTGCAAAATGGCGTCTACTAAAGGAAGATGCTTCCAGTTCCTGAAAACCAAGAGTAAATATATAATTATGCTAACACATAAGAACTTATCTGTTTTCCTTTTTCTCTATTGCCAATTTTTTTTTCTTGCAAGTGTATTGGGCAAAGCCCTTTTAGGCTTATACATGAAAATGAAGGTTTTTTTTCACATATCTTTTTGAACCTAGCTCAGTTTTAAGGTCAATGAGGGTATTTCCTTGAAGAATAGCACCTCTTCTTTGGCAGTTCTATTATTTCAACACATTTTTTAAATAAAACTGAGAAAGACAGACAATGGAAAAACATCAAGATAAGTTCTTCTTTGAACATTAATGTGTTTTTTGAAGTTTCTTTGTTCTGCATTTAATACTTGTGCAATATTGTTTGGTTTATAAATGATAATATTTACACATCAAAGTTATAACATAATAAAACATAACTATAAAACTTTAACAACATGAAATACTTCCTTATATAATAGACTCAAGTTTCTAAAATGTGCAAATAAACAATACAAAGTCTAGAAATTGACAATTGTCTTCCACATTAAACCTGAATGCAGAATTGTCATGCTTAACTGTTCTATATTACTCACTACATCCTTCTCACTTCTTTGTTGAAAGAAGTGCAAGTATGAACATTTTATATGATTATTGCCACATTTCATTTTTTCATGATTAAAGATGCTTTCTCTAACATTACACATTTGTCTGCCTTTTTCAGGTTAATTTTGAAGTGTGCTGTTCTTCTTGAAAAGCATTTATTTTAAAGTTATATACATACTAGCAGTACCAGATTAACGCATAGGCCACCTAGGCCTAGGACCCCAGCCATACAGAGGTTCCACCAGCCACCCACACCCAAGTAAAACAATATAGTTCGTAAAACTAGCAGAATAGAGGCAAGAGTGAGTTATTATTATTCTTAAATATTACCTTGGCCTAAAGCTTTACTAAACCTTAATTCAGACCTGCATACTAATATTCCCATGTTTAGAAACTCATTTTGTCCATGTACATAAGCTTTTCTTTTCATTTAAAACTACATACATGTATAAAATCTGTATATTTTGACATACTCAGTGTCTATACAAAAAAAAGGCATTTCAACCACAATCAACTTAAAATATTGTTCTATCAATTTTGTACCACCTACATAATTATAAATAGTGTGCATACACAGACACACAAATCAAACCAATGTCCAGCTATGTCAACAGCTATTTTCAAGTAAATGAATATTACTACTGTCACATTCTTCAGTTAACAGGATGAGGTATTGTCTGCACAGATACCCCTTCCTTAAGTTGTACAATCAAGCCAAAAAATATTACCTGTTAAAAACATAATCATCACTTTTTAAAAACTACAAATTAAGTTTGGATATTCAAAATATTAATAAACTATACAAACACACGTATCACCTTTGATAAAATTTTGTTGGTCTACATGTAAGTCATATTTTATATGGGTGCATAACAAATCTTCAGTTATATAAACATAATGTTTTAAGGATTTTTGCCAGTGGTGTGCCTGATGAGAAAAACAGAATTATGGTATCAGTTTAAAAAATAGTAGAAAGTAAGCATTTTCTTTTTCTTTGAATTCTGCCTATTTAAACAAGCACATTTAAACCAAAGTAGTAAAAACCAATATCTAAATTATTATCACCATTATTCTTTTTTTATGTTCTAAGCAATTACCTTCTATTAAGCTCTGAAATGAAGTCTAATGGAAAACAGTTGCTAAGAACATCACAAGGAAGAAAATAATCTAAATACAAGACTTAATACTACATTGTTTGCAACAAGTTTAACATGTTGTGCAGACATTTAACTCATCAAAATCATGTGTATTTAACACATATTTAATAGAGACTATGTCTGATAGTCAGAATGTACACATCTCAAGAATTGCACACATTAATTTAGTCAATTGTTTTTAATTATAACCAAAACAATATTTAATGGTGGCCCAGTGTAGCAACAGTGATCATTTTGAGTCTACCCAGAGGGTAGGGTTTTGAAACTTAACATAAATTAGCATGTTCAAATTAGAAACTGCTGAAAAATATAGATCACTGTGTTATGATAGGTTTAAACAAAGTGTGTTTATTATTTGTATTATATCCAAGTTGACAGAAAAATATGTATGCCTTACAGACAGTGATGTATTTTGTTATGATAGGTTTAAACAAAATGTGTATATTATTTGTATTATACCCCCAGATGAAAATAATAAACATACGACTTAAAATGCAATGGTGTACGTTATTACAAATTTAAACAAAATATGTATATTATTTGTATTATACCACAAGATGACAATAATACACGTATGACTTTCAATGCAATGGCATATGTTGTTATGAAAGGTTCCAACAAAGTGTGTATACTATTTGTATTATACCACAAAATGACAATAATAGATGTATGACTTTTAATCTTTATGAAAACTCGTGGTATTCAAACATGTGGGTTTTTGGTTGTTGCAGGTTATAGCACCATAATCTCAGATGACAAACTGAGCCACAGAGAAACTCCACAAGGAACGATGATTTAAAATGCAGAGAAGAGCACTATATATATAATGTGATGGGTGGAGTAAAAAATAAAAATAAAGCAGCAAAAAACCTAGTCCAAAACAGATACATCATATAATCACTACAATACACATAAAAAAATCAATATGAACATGCAAAAGTGAATAACTAAAACAAGTGCTTGTTAAATCTCTCTATACAGGTTTGGTCATTTCAATCAACCTTTTAATCATCATGTAACCAGGAAACTATACATTCTATAACTTTTAATGTAGTATGTATATTTTCGTGAAATTTAGCAAGCTTTTAGTAGGGATTACAAATCTTTTGTGCACAAAAAAATCACATTTTTAATTAAGATTTTCATAAAGCCAGTTGTATTAATGATGCTCATTGGAAGAGGGCAGGCAGTAAAGCATCAATCTAGATATCTATTACTGGTTTCTGGTGTTTCTAAGGGGATGGATTCACAAAATTAAGTGACAAATGTCTAAGTTTAATCAATGGTTCACATACATAATGAAAAGTTAATATCACAGTTTTTACCAACAGTATCAATGTAACCTATGTTTTTAGATCTATAACATGACACAGAAATGATTTGGTGACATTGATACACATCCTTTCCAGTACAAAAATCACTATCTTGCAAACTATAACACAAATAGATTTTATAATATAGTCAGTACATATAAAGATAAAACTAAAAAAGTGGATGAAACATTATAGTGTCTGCACAGATAAAATTTATTTGTAAAAAAAATAAAAAATAAAATCGAATTACCAAAACAAAATAATTCCGAAGAACACTAGGAACGTCTTTCATGAAACTTGAATAAAATGCTATTATTTCACCACTTTTGTTATTGAGTGGTTACCATCTGTTATATCTGTACTTGTCACAGTATTATAGATTCAAAGACATACACTACAGGAATTTGTCTTTTCACGCTGTCCAAGTAAAGGCGTGAAAACAAATAATGAATGTGGAACAGCTTCAGGAGAAAACTTTCTGCAGGACTTAAGGGTGTCATCAGAAAAACTTGTCAACAAGCTACCTTGGGGCTATAGTTTATATTTTTAAATAGAGGAGTCCTTTTATTCAAGTTCAAATAAACCTGTTGCCACCAAACATTCTCACACATTTCAGCAGTCAGCATGTTATAAGACTAATAGTCAACCCCAGTAAATGTTGTGGAACCAATTTATTTGGCTCATTCTATATTTTATTCAAAAACACCAGACACAATTACATGCACTTGAAGAAAACATTAGATCTTGATTAGTGTCAAAATAATAACATAATATTATATAAAGTCAGTGTCATAAGAAAATTATATTTTACTACTTATTTCAAAATGTACTATTAATTTTGTATATAAAACTTTTTGATTTGTTGTGTATCATACCTAAAGAAGATATACCAATGTTCTGTTGAAATATATGTATTTCATTATGCTTAGAGCTTGTTTTTCAATTTACTACTGTATTAGCATAATCTGCTACTGTACATAAGTATATTGCATAACTTTCTCAAACAAATGAAGATATATACATATATTTTTCTCATAAACTGTACTTGTAATTCATGCACAGTTTAAACTACACATGTTTATAGTTGCATTTTGTATTTCCAAATTCTTCAGCAAACCTACGTATATATGTATATATTACCTTCTCAAGTATTTTGAGTCCCTGGTACACTAATGTCCTCATAACACAAATTCCATAGTACCTGCCATCAACACTTACTAATCTGTAAGTTTCTATCATGAATGCAAATGGACAAATATGACATGCTCAAACCTAGGTTATAATAACCCATTTCATGTTACAATACACTACTAAACTGATCTAACATCAATATTAATTAAAATCAGTTGCTAAACTGAGACACATAAGCAGCTTATCTTCCTTCAGTATATTTTGTCAGTTCATATATAAAATTGTTAGTACAATTATAATATTACCTTTTGCCTACACTAAAAAGTATAATAAGTGCAGCAAGTACAAATAAAATGTAGAAACAACTTACCAATTTTGCTATATAAATTCAGAACAGGAAATTTAAGTTATAAATGAGGTTCATAGAGCACACTTTGTAAATACAAGTGTGCAAGCAAATGATCTCAATTAGAAAACATTATTACTTTGAGTTTCATCACAGTTTTGTTCTGAATGTAAAATACATGTTGCTAATTAGAGAATAATTAATATTTAAAATAAAAACAGATAAAATTGTATCAATATAAAAATGGATCTTTCTTATGTTAGTTTTGCAGAACCTTGATGCTATTTGATTGTCGAATAAAATTGTCAGATATAAAAGACTGTTTAGTGTAGGTAGTATTATTAATCAATTTATTTTATGTTTGTAATTAACTGATGTTGAGGCTATTGAATGTTGTGCTTGCAATCCATTGATGTCAAGGCTATGGAGATTTCTAAAGGCCTAAGTGACAGACACATAAATAACGGCAAC